GCAGGGGTGCCAGGCGCCGTCAAGAAACGCGGCTAACAAGCAACGGCCTAAATTCCGCAGCACGGGGAGGGAACGACAGCAGGCGGAACACGAGGCGAGCACTGGTGAGGATATGTTTTTTTTGTCGCGGCCGCGGGCGAAAGCGCACACGGCGTGTCGTAATTGGTGAGGTACGCGAAGCGTTAAGAATGTCTTCAGGTCATCGCTGGACCCCCCTCCCCTCAGCGCGCCCGGGGCGGCTTCCAAGGAGCCGTCAAGGGGGAGGGGCAGCGCCGACCCAAGAAATCCGCGCGGACCTCCAACAATTAACATATGTGCACGTACCTTTTCGTCGACTCGTCTCGAAGCCCGAGGCCGCTGCACGGCACCCGAAAAACTCCGCCTTCTGAGCGTGCCCTTCCCACTTCCTGCCGCCTCGGCCGTCCCTTCTTCGTCTTCGCCCCTCTTTGTGCATAATTCGCGTTTCCGCCACCCAGCTGCCGCTCCGACCGCGGTGCGATCGTTCCCACCGCCGATGACCAAAACGCATGTGCCCTTCAAAATGGATGTCCGCCCTGTGCCCCCCCCCCACACGGGAGAAGCAGGCCAAAGCGAGGAGCACTGCGAGATGAATGACACGTACGGCACGATCGCACTCATCGGCGCCGCGGCCCCCCTGCGGGCGAGCGCGCTGTCTCCCTGGCCTTGGCAGGCAATGAACACCAACCTCCTCCTCCTCCTCCTCCTCCTCCTCCTCCTCCTCCTCCTCCTCCTCCTCCTCCTCCTCCTCCTCCTCCTCCTTCAGCTTCTGCTCCTGCTCCTCCTCCTCCTCCTGCTCTTCCTGCTTCTGCTCCTGCTCATCGCTCCTCACTCCTCAGAGCTGCAGCAAAGCAAACAAGGGCCTGCTTCAAGCGGGCCCGTCTTCGTGCCTGTCTCTTCCGACGGCGGCTAGAAGCAGGCTGTGCGAGGCCCCGCTGCGCTTATGGAGCTCTGGCCGCGCCACCCTGGCCTGCCTATCCTAGCACCTCCTACAATCAAAATCTATGACAAGGACGGGCGGGAAGGAAGCAAGGGCCTTGGACGCCGAAGTCGGCAGTTTTTGCGCGGCGGGCTGCCAACACCCTGAGGAGCTGACCAGTGAAGACGGCGAACGACGGACCGCAGATGCAAGGACGCGAAGGTACCCCAAGGACAGTCGTGCGTACTTACTACGAGTGTTACTGTAGTTCGCCGTGGCGCACACCAGGCATGCTAAAGGTGTTTCGCGCGGGACGTCGGTCGCGCTGCCAATGCCCAGGGACTGGCGCCCGCCAGTTCTCGGGACGGTCGCCCGACAGGTCTGGGGACCGCCAATGGGTCGCCTTGCCAGTTTTGGGGTTCGTCGCCTGCCAAATCTGGATTCTGGGGTTTGTCGTTCGCCAGTTCTCGGAATGGTCGCCCGCCGCCCAGCAAAGTCTTGTTCTTCGGTCGCCCGCCAATTCTCGAGCTGGCCAATCACCACTTCTCGGGGGTGCACCAAAGAAACGATCGGGCTCTTTCATGGGGAACCATCGAGGTTTTCTGTAGCGCACGCAAAATCTATCGAGGTATTGCATGCCGCACGCGGAAACATCGAGGGGGTTTATGGCGCACACAGCAAGCAATCGAGGGTTCCCATCAAAACAACATCGAGGTGTTTCACGGCGCACACCAAGACCAGTCAAAATCCTGCATGGCGCCCGCGAACAAACATCAAGGTGTTGTATGGCGCACGGAAAAAAAAACATCGAGGCCTTTCACGGCGCACACGAAATACATCGAGGCGCTTCCAAACACATCAGAATTGAACCAACATGTACCGACATTAACAGCACGGCCATTACCGAGGGAAACCCCAACGATAAGTACGGTTCATTGTCGGCGGGCGAATGCATGGGGGAGGGGGGGGGCGCAGGGGGCCCGGGGGGAGGACAAGCTCCCCAACGCACCCCCAGGGGCCTCCACAGCTTCCAATTCTATACTCCATAGCCTCCAAATTTATTCCCAAGATACCTTCTAAGCTGGCTCAAGCAGACACGCCGCGGAGGCTTAAAAAAGACTGAGAAAGCATCAAAACTGTCCAAGAAGCCTCAGGGACGGCCCAAGAGGGCTCCAACAGGAGCCCCAAGATGGCCCCAAGAAGCAAAAATCCGCCGACCCCTGCTTGCCCAGGGCGCCAAGGCGTGCAAAATGATTGGCTGTCCACCACCCCCTCTCGCCCTCCCCTGGGGTCTGACGGTGATCAGGGGTGGGGGGGTGGGGGGGGGCCGGGAGGGAGCCCGGCTGGGGGAACCTGGGGGGTGGCCGCGGGGGGAGGGGCGGGCTCGCCAACGCACCCCCAGGGCATCCGGAGCCTCCAAGTCTACACTCCCTGGCCTCGGGATGCCCAAGATGCCAGCTGAGCTGGCTCGAGCTGGGCTCCAACGCGCCGAGGATTGCTCAAAGGCGACCCAGGTGAAGATGGCCTCAAGGCTGCCCAGGAGGCATCAAACACGCCGCAGAAGGCTCCAAAACAACCCCTGAGAGGGCCCCGGGAAGCAAGAATCGTCAACACCCCTTGGGAAAATCCCACCAGCCCTCTGGGCTTTCGTGGTATGACGAACTTGTGTCTTCTCTCTGTTGAAATCCCTCCTTCCCCTGCTCGGGGGAGGGGCTTATCATTGCGCCCTATTGATAAAACACCCCCTCCACCAGGCGACCAGAAGCCAACCAGGACCTTTGACCCCCCCCACCATCCCTGTCAAAAAACACTAGAGGCAACTTATTGGGTCATGTTCGTGGGCCCAGCGAGCACTTTGAATTGTTTCCTGACAGGGACGGCGGGGGGTATATCGTATTGCCTGCTGCGCGCAGGACCACCATCCGTTTCAAAAAACCATACAAAGTGCATTTCGCGATTTTTTCGGAAGCATGCTCGGGCACCCCGCGGTCACTTTGCTTCGGTTTTTGGCAAGAACGGCGGGGGTGCTGGCATATTGGCTGCTGTGCGCAGGCCCACCAGACACCATGATCGCCACCCCGCCGCGACAAGGACGGTGGGGGGCGACATGCTTCCCGATGTGTACTGTCACGTGCGCGGGCGCACCTGGCACACTCCGCGAGCGCACCGAAAGTGGCGCACCTGGCGCGGCTGGAGCATGCGGCACACATGGCGCACGTGGCGCATCCAACACGCCAGGCGTGCCTGGCACGCTTGGGCACCAGGGGTGCCTGGCGCATCTGGTGCGCCTGGCGCGCCTGACACGCGTGGCGAACCCCGCCCCAGCACGCGCACACGAAATGCGCTTTTGGCTCCCAGTAGCTGTCCATCCATAGACGGCCGGTAAACACGCTACAGCTCGGGTGCTGCTCATGTGCTAGGAGGGCGGCTGGGAGAGAGCGAGACAGCTTGCGGACGGAGAGGGTGTCTTGACCCCTCCCCCAACCTCCTCCCCTGGGCCTGGAAGGGACGGGGGGGCGAGGTGCCAGAGAGAGTGCTTTTTTGTCACAGATGGCTCCAAGAGGGCCTCCGCGAGTCCAAGATGGTCTCCAAGATGGGTCAAGATACCTCACGATGGCTCAGGATAGCCTCCGACGTACATCCAGGAGGCCTAAAGATGGCCCCAAGACGGTTCCAGTGCCCGCCGAGCCCTCCGAGGACCCCCCCCAAGAGGCAAAAATGGCTCCGAAACCTATAGGAAGTCCATATGGTTTGGCTTCTCGCATGTTCGCTTCCGATGGGCCTTCGAGCCCTCAAAATGGCCCCACGACGGCCCAAGAGTTGCCCAAGAGGGGCCCAACAGGGCACCAAGGGGGCCCCAAGAGAGCCCAAGAGAGCTCCAAGAGCGGCCTCGAGACGCCATTTCTGAGCCTCCGAGGGTGGGACCCGAATTGATGAACCTCCATCTTTCTGA